TATAGTACGAACAAACAAATTGAATTATTTATACATTACTAACTGCTAATCGTATAGAATTAATAGGTCAAATTATGTACATCGTATTGGACGATCCTGAGATCATACTGTAGGATCTTTGACTACTGAACTCATTTTTTAGGATTTTTTTAAGCCCTCTATTTAAGCTTTCTCATAAGACTTTATAAGAGTTTTTGGCAGCCATTGAAGCTTTATTTTTCTAGAGAAAACTTAAAAAGAGAACTTGAAAGGGAGAGAGGGAGAAGATCCTTAGAGCGGATTTCAAGGGAGTGTGGAGGGGATTTCACACGATTACTCCGGAAAGCTTGTACCTTTGTACCATCGGATTCAAGATTTATCTTGAGTAAAATTTTGGGAAGAAGAAGATCTCTTTGGTGGCAAAGACTGGGCTCCTCTACTGCATCGGGAAAGGTGGAAGTGATTTTGTAAGGACTTCTTCGCCTAACTATGGGGGCTAAAGGAGAGTCACTAAAAATTTAGTGCAATACTTAGAGGGTGCTTTCAGAGAGTGGATGTAGGTCAAGATTTGATCGAACGACTATAAATCTGGTGTGTTCTTTCCTTATTATTTTCACACTTTATATCTGCATTTATTTTTGTTGCAATTAACTGCGTTGGTGAAATGATAATTTATCTTTTAATTGTGAATGTAATTCACTTCTGCATTAATTTATAAAAAGATATTTTTTTTCATTAAAGAAGTTTTTAAATATCCAATTCACCCCCCCCCCCTCTTGGCGCATCTCGTACTTTCAGGAAGGATCATAGTCGGCGGTAAACAGTGGTAAAAAAAGACTTTTGTCTAGTGATAGAGATTGGAAGAGAAATAGTAGTGATGAAGGTAGGAAGGATCATAATTGGCAGAAGACAGGGGTCAGAAAGATCATTTTCTGACGATGAAGGTCGGAAGGACTATAGTAGGCGACAGAGGTCAAAAGGACCATAGTCGGTAAAAGATAGGGGCTGGAAATATCGTTAATAGTGATGGATGTCAGAAGGTTTGTAGTAGGTGATGGAGGTCAAAAAGATCATAATCGATAGGTGATATGGGTCAGAAAGACCATCATCTTTTGATGGAGGTCGAAATGATCATAGTAGGCGATGGAGGCCTAAAGGACCAATATTAGCATGAGATAGGGGTCAGAAAGATTGTTATCTTGCAACAGAGGTTAGAAGGACCATAGTAACGAAGGCCAGAAGGACCAAAGTTAGCAGGAGATAGATTAGAAAGATCGTAGTCGTCATAAGGCGATGGTCCAGAGGAAGTCCGGGCATTATTCGGTGGTCTAATGGAACTTCAACTTTTGTCTATGGTTCGGTGAAAGTTCAAGTCTCAGTCAGTGGTTTGACAGTAGTTTGGCGGAACTCCTGCGTCGGGTGGTGGTCTAGTAAAAGTTTGGGTCAGGCGATGGTACTAACGGAAGTCTGGTGTCATGTAGTGATCCATCGGAAGTCTGATGTACGTCAGGCAGTGATCCACCGGAAGTGCAACATCAAGCAGTGGTCTGGCCGAACTCTTGTGTTAGATGGTGGTATAGTAGAACTCTGGCGTTAGGTGATGGTCTGATAGAACTCTAGCATTAGGTGGATTTGGCAGAACTCTGAAACCAGTGGTGGTCTAGCAAAAGTTCGAGCAAAAGTTGAGCAACGGTCGGCAGCTGGGTGGAAGTCCATGTAAAACCCTTAAAAAGCTGATTTTTTAGTGCAGTTCGTCTGTACGAACTGGATTTAGTACTGGACGAAATGAAGAAATTTGTGAGGAAATCTGCCATTTTCGTCTGTACGAACCTGGAGCAGTCGGGACGATCCGTCTGTACGAAATCTGTCCAGAGAGCAAGTCGCCCGGGACGAATTTGGATTTCGTCTGTACGAAATTTGTCCAGAGAACCCATCGTACCAGGACGAAATTTGGATCGTCCAGGACGATCAGTGTTAATAAATATCGGATTTTAGATATTTTGGATTCATTTTGGAGAGAGAGAAAAGGCAAGAGAGAGAAAGAGAAGGAAGAGAAGAAGGAAGCTTGGTTTTAGAGGCCACGGAGCGCTTTTCGTCCGACGACGCTGTTAGAAGATTTGTTTGTCTCGCTGTAAGGACTCCGAACCCTATTTCTGTTTTCGAAGATTTTGTATTTTGATCGAGTTGTGCAC